TCGGAACTCTTCGCTGGCTGCTGAAGATGGGGGCGGAGCGCTTATGGGAATGTGATGTGATGTCAGTTCTTGAATCAAATCAAATCAAATCTATGTATCTCTAGATAATAACATAAGATAGAAAGAGGAGGCAGAAAGAGAAAGGGAATCGACATCACAGCAGTCGGGACACTCCCATAAGTGCTCAGTCCCCATCTTCAGCAGCAGTGAAGAGTTCCAATTCCGATGGTACCAGTAACCGTCTGATTGTATATCCGTCACATCCTTTCCCTGAGTGTTAAGCGTCCGCCAGATTCTCTGGTAACTCCTCGCAGCACCATTCTTCCTAGACCGTAATGATCTATCTGCACCTCCGCACTGTTCACTCGCTCCCAAAGGGTCCTCACAATATCTAACTTGTCATACATCAATTCACCACCAAGTGGTGCAGAGCCAGCCAGTCTGTCTGCTCATTCCCGAACACACCGGCATCACCTGGAGTAAATAACCAAAGGATGCTAACTACCCAGGACCTCTGAAGTTATGCTTGCCACTCTGCACGAAGCATGCCTGTTTTCACCTTTCTTAACATGCTCTGTGAGTCAGTTACAATCTCTGCATGTGTGTACAGCTGATTTTCAAGCCAGCGAAAAGCAGCAGAGACTGCCCCCACCTCCATTCTCTAACTAGACGTTGTGATATCATATGCAAGGCTTTGCTGCACTAGGCGACGAGCGAAAATGAAAGGGAGAAATGGGCGGTGAAGAGGGGTGCGGATGACTGAGTAAGGGAAGGGAGAACAAAAGCAAAATGGAGAACGACGAGGTAAAACAGAGAGCAGAAATATTATAATAATAAGAAGAAAAACTCCACAATCGCAGCTTCAGATCATCAGTATGATGGTTCTGGCCTGATATCCTAGACAATTTCAGAGGGAGGACCGGCCTGGTTCATGACGCCATACACCGGTTCTCCTGATGCATTTAATCAGACAGGGACAAGACGAAAAGGTTACTTTGCAACAGGTAATGTGAGATTGGTGTTAAATACCTTCACGACAAGAGTGACAATCTAACAGTTGGTTCAATAGAGAGATGTTGGATTTTAGCAACTGGCAGACATTTGTCGGGCACTTTGGCTTTTTAGGGATGAAAAGTTCCTCTCCACTAGAGGCTCAGACCAGTCTACTAAGGCCCGTCCCCCACGATGTTAAGTTGCTTCCAGAGCCAGCTTGAAGCCCTTTCAACAGCGTCACCCAGTTGTTTCAGAGGCCGTTTACGCTCGTTTCCTCTCAAAAAAAATAGAATGGAGACAGCAAAAAAGAAAGAGTGAAATAGACAATGAGAAAGAGAGAAAAAGAGAGAGAGAAAGAGACGAAAGAAGAGAAGGAAGGAAAGTGAGGGACAGAAAAGGAGAGTGCAGCTGGTTCAAACAACTGAGCTAGCGCATCGGGCAGTTTCTAGAGATACATAATGTGGTAGTCTTCCTTTGCTTTCCACACTCACATGGATGCGCACCTTAAACTTCAACAATCTGTTAGATGGCCAGGGTAGACCAGATCTCTGCCAGTCCATGTCATTGGCAGTACACAGTCACCCAAGAGAAATTTTTGACAATTTTCACCGAAGTGAAATTGATAATCAAGTAAAACTTTGATGCTTTTCACAGGTGAAAGTTTGGCGATTTTCCATCCAAGTGAAATGTTGACGGTTTTTATCTAAGCAATGTTTTGGCGATTTTCACCTAAGTGATTTTTTTTTGGGGGGGGGGGGGGGGGGGGGGGGCAATTTTCACCTAAAGTGAAACTTTTATGATTTGCAACTTAGTGAAACATGATTTTCACCTGTCAAAATTTGAAGATTTTTCACCAACATGACATTTTGACAATTTTCCCCTAAGTGGCACTTTTCCATTTTCAGGATTCCCATTTGTCACTTTGAATAAGCTAAAGGCACACCTGAACTACTCTAACTCCAAACAGGTCAACATGAAGTAAAGGATCTCTGCAACTTATGACCGAGTTCCGTTTTAACTAGCAGGTGGGAATTATATTTTTCCTTACTATTTTCATATCTGGGAGTCCCTGTGGCGTTGGCGGCTAGACGCTCACCTGCGGATCGGAAAGTCGTGGGTTTGCGTCCTGGCAGAGCCTGACTTTTTTTTTTTTCAAACATGACCTTGACTACTAGCCCTGAGCGGGTGCCAGGTGCAGTTCTGGGAAGTAAAGGTGGCCGGCGTGATGTTGAACACACCAAGTGCTGATTGGTCTTCAAAATATAGGTCTAGTCTTAGATTCCTAATACGCCTAAAGGTGTGGAAAAGGGACCTTTACTTTACTTATTTTCATACCTATTCACATATGGGAGCCGCCAAGGTGAAGAGCAGGTCTATTCAACCAAGTTCACCTGAGGGCCAAAATTTTGAAAAATCAATAATACATTCACATTAGTAGTGATCCACGGGCCGATTGCTAGGCCTCTGCAAGCCACATTTGGCCCGCATGCCACCAGTTGAATATCCGTGGTGTAGTGGCTAGAAGCTCACCAGCAGATCTGAAGGTCATGGGTTCAGGTCTTGACGGAGCCTGGTCAACTCAACCTTGAATGGGTACCAGGTAAAGTCCTGGGAAGTAAAAGCGGCTGATGTGAGGCTGACCAAATCATCCACTGACTGCCACATTGGTGTATAAAATATAGGGCTAGCCCAATACACCCGAAGATGTGGTGATGGATCCTTTGCTTTTGGGCTGTTGAAAAGCATTTCAAATCAAAACAGCAGCAGTGTCGCATCATGCACTTAACTCAGTCAAAATGCAACAGGGCTTTGATGCCCTCATTGAAACATACTGTGACTACAGGAACCATTTGTAGACAGAGCGAGAGGAAGACTTGACAGCTTTTTGTCATGGCAGGGAGAGATGTCAGCTCATCAACTGATAGATGCTGTTGGAGATCGGCGATTAAAGTAAGTCATCTTGATGATGATGATGTCTTTATTGTAAATAATCCCACTTTTTACGGTGAGTGAGAGAAAGTGAGGGAGAACTATAAAATGACAGTAAGTGAGAAAGACAGAAAGTGTGGGGGAAATATAAAATGACTGAGTGAGAGACAGAAAGTGAGGGGGAAATTAAAATGACAGTAAGTGAGAGAGACAGAAAGTGAGGGGGAAATTAAAATGACTGAGTGAGAGACAGAAAGTGAGGGGGAAATTAAAATGACAGTAAGTGAGAGAGACAGAAAGTGAGGGGGAAATTAAAATGACAGTAAGTGAGAGAGACAGAAAGTGAGGGGGAAATTAAAATGACAGTACGTGAGAGGGACAAAAAGCAAGAGGGAAATATAAAATGACAGTAAGTGAGAAAGACAGAAAGTGTGGGGGAAATATAAAATGACTGAGTGAGAGACAGAAAGTGAGGGGGAAATTAAAATGACAGTAAGTGAGAGAGACAGAAAGTGAGGGGGAAATTAAAATGACAGTACATGAGAGGGACAAAAAGCAAGAGGGAAATATAAAATGACAGTAAGTGAGAAAGACAGAAAGTGTGGGGGAAATATAAAATGACTGAGTGAGAGACAGAAAGTGAGGGGGAAATTAAAATGACAGTACGTGAGAGGGACAAAAAGCAAGAGGGAAATATAAAATGACAGTAAGTGAGAAAGACAGAAAGTGTGGGGGAAATATAAAATGACTGAGTGAGAGACAGAAAGTGAGGGGGAAATTAAAATGACAGTAAGTGAGAGAGACAGAAAGTGAGGGGGAAATTAAAATGACAGTACGTGAGAGGGAAAAAAAGCAAGAGGGAAATATAAAATGACAGTAAGTGAGAGAGACGGAAAGCAAGACTGAAATATAAAATGACAGAACCAGGGGAAGACCACAGAAAACATAGAATGACAACATCAAGAATAGCCTTAAATCTCTGAGTCCCAGAGGATTTAGCATCATAATTCCAAAGTGTAGTAGAGAGAGACATAAAATTGGCACATCTTGCATTCATTGGGCTTCTAGGTATTAACCTATGAATGTGTGACTCGTTCCTTGGACTCAAAGAGTTAAAAAAATGAAGATCAACTTTTATGATGCATTAGAACAAGTTCCCTCCCCTCCTCATACACACAAGGGCCCAACATGTCTCTTCATTCCACTGGCAAGACATCAATAGACACAGCATGCATGGGATAGCCCGAGTGCTGTGATGTCAATTTTTGACTCAACGTGGCTGCATCAGGATAGATGAGTTAAGTGACTTTGTGTATTCGTAGGGTTTTGTTTGATTTATGTATCCGCTGATGAAGGGTCTATAGCTGCAATGATCATTTTTCGTTTGTGTTTGTTATATTGTGAAGCTCGCTGATCTACTTTTATATCTTTCCATGATACTTCCACAGACACAGTGACTATACATTTTTTTTCCCTCAAAGTATTTGTGTACACATTTGGTATTATTTCAAATCTATTTGAATCATTTGTCATTCAGCACACACTAATAATTATTATTATTACCGTGACAAGGCTCCCCTGCCACATAATTTCGTCCTGGCGGAACCCCTTGGTAGGACCATATACCTAAAACAACTCGGGGTACAGAAAACAGTCACTTTGCTCGCCGTTTTAATGTGCAATATAGACGACACCACACCAGCAATGACAGATGTATCTTTATTGTACACAGCAACAATAACATTCATAACAATAATACAAGTACAGTAACTGAGATCTTTCTCCACATTTATTATGACATTAGAAACTGAAACTCCTGTGGGTTCCAGTGTAAAGACATTCTAGTTACATTCTTTGTTCTCAAATTTCTCAACAGGTTTCCCATCCAATTCCAGCATCTTTTCTTCAAGAGGAAGTGCCTGGATTCAATCTTCTATGAGGCACCTTGCTGGACTTGTTGAAACCAGGGAAGATGAGAAGTTGAAGATGCAAGAACTATGCTGTGACTGCTAACAAATACCAAACAAATTATAATCTAATGCCCTTTTTGGTGTTCCAAATAATGTTCTGTCTAATGATCATACAGCTGAAGATTGTGCTAAAGATTGTCTGGCCATTTCTAAGGCACCTTCAAAAGTCTTATTTCCTCCGATAAAACCAGATGTGTGGACAAATATGCAGTCTTTGATTCCACTTGTCTGTGAAAGTTCCTCATCCCTCAAACCTCTCCATTCTTCCTTTATTGAAACTCTGAGGAGAAGGTCAAAACAAATATTTGATTACAACAGCCTCCAGAATCATTCATAAATATCCCTGTCAGGATTCAAGGGCCCTATTGTGGAAAGAAAAACAAAATGCAGACCCACTGTTTCTTAACAAGCATGTCATAAAAGTATACTAATTAGGGGTGTTTCTTTCTAATTTGGAGTGAGTCTGTCTTGGAGGCAGGACATGTTAGTTGCGTATCCTTTACAGGACGTTGCAGAACCAACCTCAACAGCCACTGGCTGTTGTGTTTTTTTTTTTACATCCAGTAGTTTGCCATTGCTTTCTGGACGGTCGGCTTTCTTGATATCACTGTCAAAACCAGCGCAAGGCTCATGGCCTGCAGCTGGGATCAAACCCGGCTTTACAACCTAGAGGCAGGAACCAACAGTAAATAAGTCAGATCAGAAAAACAGATGCGCACACAAAACTTAAGCCTGAACAAGACCAAAGTCCAGGAGTGACTGAATTTACTTAGTCGCTCCTCTTCTATTTTGGGGTGTAGAGGTTTGCCAGAGAGTCATCAGACTTCTCTGTCAGCACTTTTCTTTCTGGCTTTGTTCAATTCCAGTCCTCTGTCAGTCAGGGACTGTCGATGTTGTCTTCCCAGCAGACTCTGGGTCGTCCTAGAGGTCTAACCCCTGGTTCTTAGCCTCCCATGGTGGCAGATGTTCTCCCATTCTGCATACATGTCCAAACCAATGTAACTGTGGCTGATCCACTCGGGTTTGTAAGGACTGGGTTTCAAGATCCTGACATACTGTCTAGTTGTGAACTTTGTCCCTTCTTGTCACTAGGACCATGTTTAGGTTAGGACTGGCACATAGGTAGAGCGGTAAACAACCATTTCGCAACTTCTCTGTTGCTGAGAAACCCTGGCTTATAAAGTCAAAGCTAAAGAACCCATTTCCTGTCTCGGGCACATAATACTAGACTCAGATTTTTTACAGGCCAGTTAGTTAGTTAGTTGGGTTATCCTCATTGCACTCCGGACATGTCCATAGGTGCTCAGATCCTCCCCTCAGTATGAAACCCAACGTCCGATGGCTAATAGTACCAGTTCTATGTTGATTAACAAGTCTTCTGGCGTGTCTGGTGTGCGTCTCGTTTTTTGCTGTGCCGATCTTAATTCCCAAGTCTGCCATTCTGGCGAGTGATGTGGATTCACTGCCACCAAAGTCTTCTATCCTTCCCATTTCTCTGAGGGCATTAATAATATCAGCATGATCCATAGGCTGACCGTCGGTAGTGATAGCGGATCCAGCCAACCTGTCAGCTCTTTCATTTCCATCGACGCCTGCGTGTCCCGGAACAAAAATAAAGGTGACTCCACGCACAGTGGACTTCTGTAATGATTCAAGCCATTGTCTTCGCACTGAACCTGCCTGAACCCTCCGGATCATACTCATTGAATCACTGAGTATACACACGCGGGTGTATTTTTGTGTTTCAAGCCAGGCAAGCGCTTGCGTCACTGCCATCACCTCCATCGTCATGCTGCTGGTTGTCATGGAGAAGGCGCCGTTGGCTTCTTTGACTGTTCTGCCAGCTGAGCGTGCTGTAAATGCCCATGCGCTTTTTCTTTGGCGTATAACGGATCCGTCTGTATAGATTATTGCATCTGCTTCGTCCGAATTTTCACCGATGAGAGCGTTGACCTCTGCATTAACAGCAACAGGATTCTCTTCTCTACATCGCCTGTTGAGTGTGACAATACAGGAAAATGTACAAATTAACGCCTGAGGCACAGGTATCCATTCTGCACCAGGTATGATGTCGGTTAGGCTGCACATTTGCCTAATAACATCTTCTGCCCGACCTAGCCACGATTTCCCCCTCTTCAGTCTGTCGCCCTTTTCACTAAAAAGCGCTTGATGCAGTGGGTATTTCTTATCAGCACATATTTTGAGATATGCCCGAGCCCTCCACATCCTGATCCTTTGGTTCATTGTTGGAAAGTCAAGTAGATACCTCATTGCTCCACAGGATGTGTCTCTTGTACATCCTAAAATAATGCGCATGGCTTCATTTTGCACCTTTTCGAGTCGTTCAATCTGGGTAGCACTGACAGTGAGGATGGCCAGAGCGTATTCAATGGGGGAAAGGACCAGACCGTAGAATAGAAGTATTAGTAGTCTTTGCTCAATATTGGAAGCAGCTTTTACAGGCCAATCCACCCTCAATGAGTGATGCAGTCAACATCAGGCCAGCCACCTTTACCTCCCAAAACGTTACCCATTTTAGTGTGAATCAACATAAGCAGCCAGAGTAATTTCTTTAAAAAAAAAAAATCCAGCTGTGAAGATCTGAACCTATAAGCTTCTGGTCGGAAGGCAGAGCATCTAGCTGCGACACCGCCGCGGCTCCCTACAATTACAAGTCAAATTTTTTTTCAAAGTAGAGCGACACCTGTACACTTCTTCTTCTTCTGCCTTGATCCATCCCCCTCAATGGAGCTCAGACCCTCAGCCAACTCACACCAGTTCATCCTGTCCTTTGCTATCACATGCAGTGCATGTCCTCCCCACCAGTGTAATTGTATACCCTCTAGCTTCTTGCTCTGTGTTTCTTAATCTGGCTTTACTTCATTGCCCCTGTGGGTTCTAGTGCAAAGACAATCGTATTAGATGTGTATGTACTAATAATAAGCATGTCACGAAAGTCTACTAATTAAGGGTGTTTCCTCTGACGTCGAAGTGCATCTGCCTGAAAGGCAAGGAACCAACAGTTTGCATACCAAAAAAAAAATAAATGCCTGTAATATCTGTAAAATGGATGTGCATGTAAAAAGGGGTAGAGGCAGACCAAGAGACATGATGCTGGGTAGGCTAAAACGATGGCATGGAGGGATATCATCAAGAGAGCTGTTTCAGGCAACCAGGGATCGTGATCTGTGGAGACGCATGACCGCCTATGCCAGTTGGCATAGCACATGATGATGATGATGTAAAACGAAGTTCTGGAATAAAACCAGAAGTGGACAAAAAACCAGAACTTTCTGCCAGAGATTACAGCTGATGAAGGTGAAGGAGAGAAAAGTTAGGGTTCCCAGTTACCTGTTTTCAAAAGAGTTGAGGCTGGCCGGTACACACTGTACCCTCCAGTGTTCATTCTTGTCAGGGAACAGCACATACACAATTGGCTTGGGCAGGTTCATCTCTTCCTCCAGGTTAAACAGGTGATCCTTCCATGGGGCAGCCCCATCCTTCAGCTGAATGATCTGACCACTTGGATCAACCTGTTGGAAAAATACAGCATCGTTACAACTTTTAAAAAAAAAGAGTTTTTTTTTTTTGGCACACGCCGGGGTCTGTAGCTTAGGCAATGTGTACTTAGCTTCGTAATTAGGGGGGGGGGGGGGGGGGGGGGGGAAGAGGGCCATAGCGAAGGATAGAACAACTTGACATGAACTGGATGAAGGCGTATGCTCCATTGGGGGACAGAACACAGAAGAAGAAGATTCAACCCCAGCTGTGGGTGATTTGGCTGCAGATCGCCTTGCGTTGGTTTCAATGGTGATATCGTCAAGCAACCGTTCAGAAAAAATGGCAAACTACTGATCTGAAAATTGCCTAGTGAAACGCTGGGGTTGATTCAGTAAAGAATACACAGGTAACTTTTATTTTAAATCATCACATAAGGAAACAGGGGGGAAAAAAGAAACAACAAACACTTTTCTACATCAGGGAGAATGTTTGTGCCCATAATCTTTACTGACCATTTGGCGAGTGAAATGCTCAGTATCACACTGGCTACCTTTTCTTACTTTGCGAAACATTTCTAGGCACACATTCTAAGCTAGGTTAAACCATGACCCCAGAATAATTTCATTTTAAATCACCCCAATGAGCACTCAAACACTGGGCCAACAGACAAGTCATCAACTGATGTGCCGAGAATCTTCTGTCAGCAAATACCACACCCCCCCCCCCCCCCACTTACCTGACTAACATGTCATAAAACACACATAATTGGGCCGTCAGCTGAAATCTGATGTCTCCGGCTGAAAGGGGCACATGTCGCAACCTAGCTGTAAACCACAACACAATATCAACCGCCACCTGCATCTTTGATAGGTCCAGAGATTCACTGTAAGACAGAGATCGCAAAAGTTTGCAATAAGGCCTCATTCATCTCTTCCAGGTTTTCGAGCCATAACAGACAAATGGTCTTTTTAGTGTTTTGCATATCGATTTTGGTGTTACAAGATCCAGAAGTTGTCACTTCTTCATGAATCTATCTATTCAATAATCGGCCACAGCCCTGGTCCAAAATGGGACAGTTTGTTGTACAGAAAGTTTTGCTGCACAGTGGTCTTGGTATTACCAGATACAGTAGTTGATGTCTTCCTTTGCTGTGATACTATATTAATAAAGGGATGAAAAGTACAATTGTTGCTGCGGCACCACAAAAGTGATACAACGGAAGAAAGAATAACTGTACTGACCTTGTGCCGATCGTTAATTGCCTGGACCACAAGATCTCGAGCAGGTAGCCAAGAGGAGTAATAAAACGTGACTCTGTCCACAAACTCAGTACCGGCCATCTTCATCGCCTTCTCAAATTGTGTCTGTTGTAACAGCAGAAGTCACAGATTAACTGGCATATCAATTTTAATGTTACAAAGTTTAAAGTCAAGAGGAACAATCTCACTGCACTGGGATTTTATTCCCCACACGACTTGGCCTCTCTCAGCAGAATGGCTAGCTGCCTGTCGAGAGCGTCGCACAAAGCATGAGCTCCATAGCTCAAGACTCACATGGATCTCCATAAAAACTGCACGACACATCAACAAAACGAACCCAGGGCCTTTAAGGTGTGAGGCAAACAGCCTGACAACTTTGCCACGGAGACCTCCTGGCAATATCAAATAAGACATGAGAAGTCATAGATTAACTGGCAATTTCAATATGAAAAAATACACGAGAAGTCCTAGATGAACTGGTAATATCAGTGTTGTTTCTGGGGCCCCAGTTGTTGAGGGGGTGGACCCACTGCCTCTTTAACTAGCATGTCATACTAGGCAACTATTTAAAGGGTCTGCTGAAAAGGGGAATATATCACAGCCTAGCTGTAAACCACACCATAATGTATCAACTGCCACCTGCATCTTCAACAGATCCAATGATTCGCTGCAAGACACCGATCTCAAAAGTTTTCAATAAAGCTTCATTTCTTTTAGCTGCACTCCAGTTTTCAAAGCCTTATCGGACAAATGGTCTATTCAGTGTTTAATATACTGCAACCTTGATGAGTTAAGAATTTACATCATAGCACTCAGGGCATTCCCGTCCTCATCCTCAGCAGCTAGCGCAGAGTCCCAATACTAATGGTACCGGTCGTAATCTCGTTATATGTCTTTCCTTTCCCCTGAGTGTAGTGAGCCGGCCAGACCCCCCTGGTTACACCCAGATGCCTCATTCTCTCCAGGCCATAATAATTTTGTTACGCTTCTGACGCCCTTGCTTGTTCCCAAAGAGCCCTGACCACATCTGCCTTGTCATGTATCAATTCACCACCCAGTGGTGCAGATTCAGCCAATTTTATCACGTAGATTTCTCATTGCGACCTTGATGTAACAAGATACTGTATTTGATATTTCTTCATTTACTGTGATAAAACAACAAAGGAAACGACAAAGTTTGTGTTACTCATGCACCAAGACCTACTGCTTCCTAATAAGCATGTTATAAAATGCGACTAATTAGGGGGGCTTCCTTTAAAATCTACCTGTTAGGCCCGAAACCAACAGTCTGCTACAAATAAGCCAGATCAGTAAAATGGATGTGCACCAAAACTCAAGTTCTGGTACAAGACCAAAGTTTAGAAGCAGAGGAACAGCCAGAATTCTCAATGGTCAAAGGTAATAAGAAAACGATTTTTGTCTTCAAATTACAGAAAATAAAATGATCTTCTAACTTTTACATATTCAACTACCAAAATAATATTAACTTTCTTAGAAAAAAAAACTTTTATTTTCTCAGTTACCATATTTTATACCGTCGCTGTTTTTCCTTCTAAAACTTATAACTAAAATCACAGCTGTACGGAACAAATGTGAAATATGCAGTACATGACACCATCAACAGATGTGTTTCCCAGTCAATCTCGAAACAATATGCAGTGAATGGCTGTCGCCTGCTGGAGTAATTCTTTGCACTCACAACAGAATGGCGTAATCTAGGGAAGCAATCAGAATTACCAAACAAGGAATAACAACAGACAGGCATGTTGCAGGAGGTATTTGACAATAAGAAGAGATGTGAACAGTCATGTCCTGAAGCTTGTGGTGGACATTTGCAAGATCTGTTATAATGAATACTTCCCTAGTACACTCCAGCTTTTGCAAAATAGTGTTAGACTATAGCAGTGCTTACTGTAACTACTTTAACGACTTTTAAGCACAATATTTTTTAATGGCATAATGTACTTGGGTTTTTCAAATTTATTCTGCACACAAAGTGTGGTGAGACTTTACAAACACCCTTAGAAGAAGTACCCAGCTGGACCGACAGGCATGCATCACCACAGTGGACCCTTATTAGCACCTGAATTATCTATAAGTTGGACCACATTCTGATTTTTAAAATAATGAACAACTATACACTAAAAACTCACTGTTTCATCATTTTCTTTATCATTCCATTTCGGGTTGAGTCCATTTACTCGACTGCTGAGATTTGTTGTGATTCTGTACCTGTTCGGAATCATTTAACATTCAGAGATGTTTTATAACTGGCTGTGTATGAACTGGCTGTGTAAGAACTGGGTTTGTGAGAACTGGCTGTGTAAGAAAGCCACTGTGTAAGAACTGGCTGTGTGAGACCTGGCCTGGTGAGAACTGGCTGTGTGAGAACTGGCTGGGTGAGAACTGGCTGGGTGAGAACTGGCTGTGTGAGAACTGGTTGTGTAAGAACTGGCTGTGTAAGAATCCTAAATGTAAAAGAGAAGAGACAGGATCAGAAAAACTGACATCAGGAATCATGTTGCAACAGAATCAGTGCTAACTTACACCAAGAGATAAGAAGTAAAATGGTTCGGACATGCGTCTAGGACAAAACAGAATCAGAACTAGAGGTCACTGATGCAAGCGATGGACAGATGGAATATCCGAGGCCAGGAATACCAGCAAGGCTCGCACCAGATGCCTTTTCAAAACCTGATGCTGAAAGGCAGAACAGGACTAGAGAAAAGAAGAAGAAAAAGAAAGCTGTGTATGACCAAAAGCAAACCATCTTTAGAGATTTTCTTTTTCATGATTGGCCAAGTGTGTTTTAAACCAGATTATCTGTGAAAAAAAATTAGTTTCTCTGGATTGGATAAGCATCAAGGTTGGTAAATTGTCATTCTGACAGACTGCACATATTCTTAACTACATGATGTAAGAAAAGTTCTTCTTCACTTCCCCATTTACCGCTTTAGGTGTCGGGGGAGATATAAGGTTCTTCTTCCTGCTCTTCTGGCAGCCTCGACCATAGACACATCATAGTGCTGTAGAGTTTCTCTGATGTTATTTCTCCATCTTTTTCCTGGCCTAACTCGGGCTCTACATCCTTCTCCTCTTTTGGTGAATGCCTTGTATGGTATGGCTTCACTTGACATTCTAAGTGGACAAACCATTTGATTTGCTGTTTTTGTATGTAATATAGAATTTGTTCTGTGCCGTACTTTTTCTCATATGACTTCATTCCTGAATTTGTCTTCTGGTCATTCCTTAGCCCTTCTCAGACATCTCATTTCCTTTGTGACTAAATTTCTGTTCTGGTTTACTGTGAGTGACCATGTCTGACACTCGTAGCACAGAGGGGGAATAAATATTCTTTGTATGGGATGTTTCTTTGTGCTCATGACAACTGCCATATGCTTTGAAGTTCTTCCTCAATTAAGAATATTTTATGAATGGGATTCAATATATTCAACACACGATGTTAACAAACTGTTGCATTTTCTTCTTCTTCTTTTGCAGCATTCCAAGCCCACAGGTTCATTGCTGCAGATATCAACTGCTTCTATTCATCTCTCTGGTAGGTCTTCTCTTTCCAGTTGGTAACTCCAATGTTTGCAGGTCTGCCTGTATATTAACTCTGCACCATCTTTTTGGTCTACCTCATTGTCTATTCCCATTCAACTCTTTTGTTAGTTTTACTTACTCTCTTTCAACTCTTCTGTTAGTTTTACCTAGCCCCATTCAACTCTTCTGTTATTGTTAATTTTACCTAGCCCCATTCAACTCTTTTCTTAGTTTTACCTAGCCCCATTCAACTCTTTTGTTATTCTTGCCTAGCCCCATTAAACTTTTTTGTTAGTTTTTCCCAGCCCCATTTAACTCTTTTGTTACAGTTTTGCCTAGCCCCACCCCATTAAACTCTTTTGTTATAGTTTTGCCTCTGTTATTAGCCATTCTCACTACCAGCCCTCTTGATGCCTGCAGTTAGTTGTGATCTGCTGAACAGATTATGAATTTCTTTGCTGCTTCTCATTCTCCATTCTCCGCTGTTTGCATCTTTGATGGGACAAAGATTTGTTGAAGACTGTTCTAATAAATAATAAACTAAGTAATTAAAAAATTATACACCTCCGTTAATTGTAAAGAACAAAACATAAATAGGTCCTGTGATAAGTAAACAGGATCAAGCAATGATCACCATATAAGGAGAGTCTAACTAAAAGTAGGTCCAATGATAAACAATAAATATGGAGGGTCATATTATAAGTAGATCCAATGAGAAACAATATGCAAGGAGTCTGATTATAAGTAAAACCAATAATAAATGGTATGTAAGGAGAGTCCAACTGTAATTAGGTCTAACAAAACAATATGTAAGGAGGGTCCGACTACAAGGAAAGTCTCACTATAAGTAGGTCAATTATAAACAATACATCACACCTTCTACAATAAATACCTGGAAATGGGTGGAAAGAGGATAAAAACGATGAGATACTGGAAAAAGCAGGTATTACAACATTTCTCTATTTAGAACATTCACTGCATCATTCAATAAGAAAACAAAACATTAACTAGAAGACTTAGAGAATCATTCAACAAGAGCACAAAGCATTAACTAGGACATTCACAGAATCATTCAACAAGAGGACAAAACATTAACTAGAACATTCCCAGAATCATTCAACAAGAAGACAAAACATTAACTAGAACATTCACAGAATCATTCAACAAGAGGACAAAACATTAACTAGAACATTCACAGAATCATTCAACAAGAGGACAAAACATTAACTAGAACATTCACAGAATCATTCAACAAGAGCACACAACAATAACTAGAACATTCACTGAATTATTCAACAAGAGGACAAAACATTAACTAGAACAATACTGAATCATTCAACAAAAGCACAAAACATTAACTAGAACATTCACTGAATCATTCAACAAGAGCACAAAACATTAACTAGAACATTCACAGAATCATTCAACAAAAGTACAGACATTACTAACAAGAATATTCAGTGAATCATTCACACACACACACACACACACACAAAAGGAAAACACACAGATGAAGAAAAGATGCTGGTTTTGGATAGGGCATAAGCTGAGAAAACCTGAAAACAGTATAAACAGTGTTTTTACAACAGAGCCCACAAGGGCATAGAAATAAAGGCAGATAAAAAAAAACAACACACACATGGAGAAGGAAACCAGAGAGTAAAGTTGAAAGATGGTGAGGAAATAGGGTGAGTTGCATGCAACAGCAAAACAATAGGATCACTTGTGCAAGTTGGTTAAGGGCTTATGCTCCATTGGGGGATAAAAGGCAGAATAAGAGAAGAAAAAAAGAAGTATAACAAGTTATACCTTGGCACTGAATCGGTTTGGTCGATTCCATTATCAATAGCATCGATCTCCTCTATAAAGTTTTCATACACCTTGTCATAAATAGTGTCAATGCTGGAGCTGCCACTTGGCACATTCAATATACTGGCAATTATATCAGCTCCAAAATGGACATACACCAGTCCTGCACTCGACAGTTTTGTGACCCATTTCTTGCCCGGCTTTAAACTTTGCAGGCTCTCGTTAAATGTTCTAAAAGAGAAAATTGCAACATAAAAAAAAAAATAATTGTGTCTATTAAAGAATGTTATACACAGTTTAACATTTCTTAAAACATTTTGGTCCAGAACAGTGGTTTTCAAACTTCCTTATGCAGCCACCAATTAATACAGTTCCTCATGTTGTGGTGACACCTAACCATACAGTTATTTTCATCGCTACTTCATAACTTCAATGAATATTTGTTTTGTGATGGCCATTGGCGACCCATGTGAAAAGGTTGATTGACCCCAAAAAAGGTTGAAAACTACTGATCTAGAATGACATGCCTGATGCGCCATTGGCCAAAAAAAATAGTCCTTAACCCTGTTGCTTCAAGAAAGCCACTTTCCCAACATTTACAGGAGTTTCATGACAGGAGTCTTTGGGCAGCACTTACTACGCCTATATAACATGGAAATCAACACTAGTTACGGCGTCCGTGGCTAAGGCGTTGCGAGTCCGACTCGTAAGCCAGCATACCGCGATCGAAACCCACTGCAGGCTGCGTGGATTTTTGTCGTGGTATGGGACGATGCAGGTCGACCCAGCCTAAAATGGGTACCAGGCTGTCCTGGGAAAGTAAGGACAGCCGGCGTAATACTGACCACATTACCCACAGAGTGCTGATGGTTTGTAAAAATATGGGACGCTCTGCCCATATGCCCGATGCGCCAAAAAGCGTGAAAAGGGAACTTTACTTTTTTTTTTTACAACACTAGTTTCATGACAGATGAAGAAAGAGCGGTCCTCATCAAGTGTAATGGACGAACAACAGGAACAATATGTATCAAGCATCATTCTGTATCTTCATATATTCTTTATACTTGGTCTGAATATACAAAAGAAATGTATTTTAACATGCCTCATTAGTGTTCTATCCTCAAAACTAATATACTTGTTTTTTTTCTCATTCTTGTTGCCTTCTTTGAAATCTGCTGTTAATGCTCCTGGAACTTAAAGAATAAATATGCAACACCTGTTATTTTAAACTACACATGAAATAGAAAGTGTTGACGCCACAAGTGTTTTTGGGTGCTTTATTAATATCCTACCCCAAACAGGGGAAAACCACAGGTCACGGGACGGTCTAATTTTTCAGGGGGTGGTAGACAGGCTGAATGCAGTCGCAGGACCTAGGTTGCATGCCGTCGTGGGACGTAGGTGGGTTGGGGTTAGGGCCAGTTCTATATGTTTTGGGGTGGTTAAAAGCATCAGAACGCTGGGAAACCCAGTCTTACCACCCTCTAAAATGTTGGACTGTCCTGTGACGTCATCTGGGGTAGGATATTAATAATGCACCATGTTTTGGACTGAACCAGTTTCTCTGGAATGAACCCAGTATTTTTGTATGTCCTAGGTAGGAAGAAGCTCTACCTTCCAACCACCCCATTATCAATACACAGATTACTTGTGGAAAAGAGAAGGCGTACTTCTGATGGTGGTCGTATCTATGTCTGCTCGGGTCGTAGACAGCACCAACATCAACAACAATGTCACACTCATCCAGAAGGACGGGGTTCCTGGTCCTGTGGGAAGATACAAGATAACTGATTAGATTCATGTTTCCAGTGGGAGAGGGCTTAGGTGTAGTTGCTAGATGATTGCCTCGTGGTGGAAGGTCCTGTGTTAAAAAAATATGACCTGGCTTCCAGGTTTATCCAGTCTAAAATGGACACCAACATTGCAGGGAATCACATGGATAATGGATATACTGTCTGGAACATGCACGAGTATGAGGGAAATGAAAGAGCGGATTTTCTGGTTACAACAGCGATAGCTATGGTAATACTCATACTGGACAAGGGAGATATTCTGAAGACCATTTATGAACGAATGTTGAAAGAACACAAGAGATTAGAAGAAACAACATGTGTAAGAATGTGTGTACAAGGAATTAGGAGTAGATCCGGCAAGGAGGGGCGTATGAGAACAAGAGAACGACATGTGTATAATCAGTTTGCTACGGGAGACAGAGCAACTATAGGTGTGCCCAGTTTGCTATGATGTTGACTTTTAAATCAGTAACCCAGCCTAAAATGGGAACCAGGTAAAGTCCTGGGTAGTAAAGGTGACCGGCATTATGTTGACCACATCACGTGAGGACTGGTCTATATAAGTTAGGTCTAGCGCTATATACCGAAAACATCTTTAGGCGTGGAAAAGGGTCCCTTACTTTTAGGAGGGAGAACAGACCCACTGCCTGGTAACAATCATGTCATAAAAAGCGACTAACTGGGGATATGTGGAAATCATATGTACCGGGGCTAAAGGCGCAGATATTACAGTCTAGCTGTATACAACAAAACAACACAGGCTTTTTAAGAATGAATGTGACAAAGAAAAAGATATTTAATATGTTAACATGTTATCTCAATTCTGCTAAGATTTTTTTTTTTGCGGTGTAGGCAGGGTGGTCTTTGAGCCTGACGATTTACGGCCACACGGCTAGTGCCGTCACCATGATTGTGTAGGTGAAGATTTTGCCCCGCCCCCGACAGAAAAATCCCCAGTCTTACAGAGGAATAAACCCGGGTCTCCCTCTGCTTGGAATTACTGTGGAAAAGTAATAAGATGATGTGCTGTCCGGCCATCTATGTTATCTAGGTCAAATCAACTAAAAATGGCTGTGTTTTTCCCTTACATGGATTCGTCAAGGCATAGTGTGAATGTAGTCATCTATCAATACAATGGTTTCACGGTGCAGCGCTATCACTCAAGTCATCCAAGACGCACAAGACAAATACAAAAAAAACTGCGACACTGGGCTACAACCTGGTATCTGTGAGATCACCTTTGAAAAAAAATTAAAATAATTTTTAAAAAAGGTAGGGTGCAGCTCCGACCAAGGCAAGTGATGCAGTACTGAAACATGGTGAATTTATTCGTACAGAGAAAAATTGCTAAATAGCTTTCCAATGAGATGCCTACAAAGCTTACATGGCACATGTGGCAAGACAAGATCATAAACACTGAGGTAATGGATATAGCTGGTATCACAAGAGTTTTCTCATAACTCAGTCTTAGAAGACTAATGGCTGGGACATACTTGCGGGATGGTAGAGTCCCCGTGGGCATCCTATATGGTGAATTACAGATGGACAAAAGATAGCGATGTTGGTCGCTACTACAATATTAAGATGTATGCAAGCAGGACATGAATGATACATGCGCTGCAATGGATTCGTGGTAATAGGATGCCACGGACCACACTGCATGGAGGGTAGAAAGATCAAGAAGGGAATGAAGATAAAAGACAAAATTATTGCAGATAGTTTGACAGAAGAGCGTCTGATAAGCAACACATTAAATTCATGCTTAGGCAGCTTCTTCTTCTCAAAGTCCATGCCGTGTGGTGTTGGTAGTCATGTCTATCCACAAACTTCTGTCTTGTGTACTTTCAATCAAATCCGTGGAGATGATTCTCCATGCCATGATATCAAACTGCCCAGCATCTTTTCTCTCGGTCTTCCTCTACCCGTCTCTCCCTCGAACTTTCCTACTGCCACGATCTACTCCAGATTTTCTCTTTTTTTCATCACAAGACCAAAGAATGTAGACTGCCCCATTCTGATGCCAGACATCATTTCTCTTCGTGAGTCAGCTTCTTTCTAGACGTGACCGTTACTGTTTTTATATGTCCAGGGTATTCTTGTCATTCGTCTATAAAACCATATCTCCACAGCTTCCAGATAAGATTTCAATAATTTACCCACTGTATATGTCAGCAGTGGTCCTGAAATCCTATGCTCTCCTTGTGAAAGATGTTTGTTTATCTCGAGCAGGTCTTGCCAGTTACGTGAGCCATCTGCTTGGGCTGTGATTCCTATGTTGAAAGTATGGAAAGGTGCAAGCCAGTGGAAGCAGGATTAAATACTTTCTGTTGAGTACTACTCTCTCCTGTGGGCTTAGTGACCTCAAGGTATGGTGTCCACCTCGAGTGTTAGAGGTCACAGGTTCAAGCCCCGGTGAAGGCTGGGATTTTCACGTGGACTACTAATAATTTTCCTGGTCTCTGGGTAGTAAGATCGGACACCCGTGTGTACTGCTGCGCATGTGAAAAAATCCCTTGGCAGTTGAAATCGAAAAGAGTAGACTAACGGCGCTGCCTGGGCAAATTTCTGAGTTCAAAATCTACCCAAAATATTTCAGGATCTTCGCCGGTGCAACAGTGTTTGTGCACTGCGTTGAGATTCTTCACAGTCAGGCTTGAGTTAGAAGTAGAACGGAGCACTTATGGGTTACACCAGTGTGCCATGATGTTGATCCGTTGAATAAACATAAACAAGTACTACTCTGATGTGAGGTGGGCGACCATCTTCATGAAATGAGTTTACAAAGTTATAGGAAGGCGGGGGGAGGATATAAAGACAAGCAGTCCTGGATAATTTTCAAAGTGGGCAAGGTGGGGTGGGGGGTGGGGGGCGGGGAAGAGAAAGAAGGGGGGAACAAACCAGTAAAGTGGATACCTGACAATCTCAGCATGTTTGTACTGGTCCAGCTGCTTCAGCAGAAAACAGGCAAGAACCTCGTCACAGTGAAACTTCCCGTCATGTGTCCCAATCTTCACCATGTTGCAAGCTTTCTTGATGGCAGGTTCACCGCTCATTGAACGATATATCCAATTTAGTGCAGAGAGATTTGGCCTGAAAGCAAAAACAAATAAGAATTCTATGGCCAGATTTAAAAAAAAAAAGTAATATTGATGTCTGGAAACAAATTAACTTGTTTCGATTGCGTTACATTGGAATTATGAGTCGGACTCGCAAACGCCTAAGCCATGGACGCCGCTTAATTAACTTATGACAAAACAAAAACAAATTACAGGCAACAGAATAAGACAATCTCGATAATTTTTTTACCTGACAATTATAAATCTAGCATTAAAAATCTTGTACATGTGTTGCACTTCTGGTTCCTATCGTCTGTCGCAGGAATGGTACTTGAATTTGTAGTTACGTCCCTTTACAGTGTGTGCTTTGTTCTCCTTCCCCCTTCTTCTTGGATTGCTTTCCGAAAACGACTCAAAGAGCCTTTGTTCGGATGAGATATTACCCTTGCAGGTTCTGTTGCCACATTTGGGTGGGGAAGGCAGAACAGAATCAAGCATGTCGTTAAAGCGACTAAATAGAGGTTTTCTCAAATCGTGTGTGTTGGGCCGAAATATGAAGATAAAGAAGCCTAGCTGTAACCCATAGCACGACGTGCAAACCACCCTGCTAAGGCAAATGCAGAAGAAAAACAGGAGGAGCAGAAGAAGAAATCGACATCACAGCACTCGTGACACTCCTATAAGTGCTCAGTCCCCATCTTCAGCAGCAAGCGAAGAGTTCAAATGGTACCAGTAACCGTCTGATTGTATATCTGTCTCATCCTTCCCCTAAATGTTGAGCGTCGGCCAGACCCCCTGGTAACTCCTCGCAGTGCCATTCTCCTCAGACCGTAATGATCTGCCTCCGCACTGTTCACCGGTTCCCAAAGGGCCCTCACAATATCTAACTTATCATTCATTAATTCACCACTAAGTGGTGCAGAGTCAGCCAATCTATCTGCCTGCTCATTTCATAACACGTCGGCATGATCTGGAGATAATATCCAAAGAATGCTAACTACCCGGGACCTCTGATGTGATGCTTGCCACTCTGCACGAAGTAACATGTTCGGTGAGTCAGTTAAAGGTCCTTCTGTACATAAATAGAGTAGGCCGTGAGTCAGTTACAATCACGGCATGTGTGTACAAGTGACTCTTAAGCCAGCGGAAGACAGCAGAGACTGCTTCTAACTCCATTATCAAAATATACGTGATATCATTTGCAAGGCTTTCCTGCACTAGGTGATGTTTAGAAGCAACCTGAAATCGAGTATAGGTAGGTTAAAATAATAGTAGATCGACCTGTCTGTTTTTCACTTCCTGTGTTTTACCTAAAGGTTTACCATACCATCCTGCGATTATACAAGCTCATACTTGACGATATACCAACAATGTATTTTCAGACACAGCGTTACGGTCCGATGTGTTTGTAATTGTTGTTGAGTTTGTTATTCGACCTATGCTTGGTTTATATAAATTTCTGTAACACATGGTGCTATTTTAATAGTTTGAGATTCCATAATTGTGGATTTTAAGCAGTACGATAGACATGGAAAATGAAGACACCTTTTTTTAGGCGTGCCTAGTTAGTCATGTTCTTAGTACAGTTGTTTCTATGCCAGGGCGCACACGCCATTTAAAGGTGACAGGTACTATTCCCGGCATTATAATTATAGCTTTCGATTTTTATGTTGTTCCCCCGTGTGGGTTCCGGGGCCCCATTGTGGAGAAAACAAGAATAGACCCACTGCCTCACCAAAAGCATGTTGTAAGAGTCGACTAATTGGGAGCTTCCTTTGAAGTCGGAGTGCATCTGCCGGAGAGGCAAGGAACCAACAGTCTGTATTCAAGAGAATGAGATCTGTAAAACTGATGCACACGCAACACTCAGGTTCTGGAGCAGGACTGCAGTTCAGTAATGGACGAGCAACCAGAACTTTCCACTAGAGTGTACAGCTGGTGAACGTAAAGAAGAAGAAGAAGAAGATTTTTATGTTGTCTAGTGTGTTCTTCTGTTTTTCCACTTCTTTGTATGATTGTCGATGAATATATATATATATATATATATAAAACAAGGCAGATCCAGACTACCCCGTTCCACCTTTAAAGACCTTATACTTATGGCACACACAAGGCTTACACAGGCCATGGGTAACTTGCAGTTCCATACTGACTAAACTCTGTTGTTTATTATTCTTTCATTCTATTTGTTGACATAATATTTGAATACTGTAAGGTAGTCATTTCAGGCTGTACATTTGTTTGCTTGTGTCTCTCTTCCCCGCCCTCTCCCCCTTATTTTGCTTAGGTCATGCAGGATGTCGATCTTTTTCTTCTTCTTGGTGGACAGTTTTCTAAGAATTTGCCTGTAGTATTTTTAGATCAAAAGCCCCTGATTTATTTCTTCAAAGTAGTTATAATAGTAGTAGTATTAGTAACAGTAGTAGTAGTTGTAGTAGTAGTAGTAGTAGTAGTAGTAGTAGTAGTAGTAGTAGTAGTAGCAGCAGCAGTAGATTTTACCCCACTAGGACATCACAAAGCGATAATCACCCGATGACACAAATTGCTACCATGCAGATGAGAAAAAACCCATGGAGAGGTCCCAGAAACCCTTTTCAGCCGTTAGGCCATATCTATGGCTATGCCTTAGTTATGGCCCCGGCTATATTCAGGGCCCCAGGCAATAGCTAGGGTGGGACTTCAAAATAACAAAAAAAACTGCATTCCACAAGGGGACGAATTAAATTATGATTCAGAATTATTCAACATAAGTAAAGTAGTAGTAGTAGTGGTCGATTTTTATCCTACTAGGACATCAATAAACACCCGATGACATAAAGTACCACCATATGGATCAGGATCATGGAGGAGAGGTCCCAGAAACCGTGTTCAGCCATTAGACCATATTATTATTATTTATAGTCGGGTTTTATTGCGGCCCCTGGCAAGAGCCAGAGTAGGGCTTCAAAGAACGAAAAATTGCATCTCCAAAGGAGATGACTGAATTACTACTTGTTTATGTTCAATACAAGCAAATGCCTGTTACTGTTATGCAAGCCGGCAAGCAGTGTGTTCAGTCAAACAGCGCGTCACTTCAAATTTAGCTTTTCCGTTTCCCTTGAGATAAATTATTAATATACAGTTCTCTTGACAACTTTAATAACATTGATTACACTGTGTAACTCTTTCTGTTAGCAAGAATATTATTTTGATTATTCTTTTACCTGACAATTATAAATCTAGCATTAAAAATCTTGTACATGTGTTGCACTTCTGGTTCCTATCGTCTGTCGCAGGAATGGTACTTGAATTTGTAGTTACGTCCCTTTACAGTGTGTGTGTGCTTTGTTCTCCTTCCCCCTTCTTCTTGGATTGCTTTCCGAAAACAACTCAAAGAGCCTTTGTTCGGATGAGATATTACCCTGTGCAGGTTCTGTTGCCACATTTGGGTGGGGAAGGCAGAACAGAATCAAGCATGTCGTTAAAGCGACTAAATAGAGGTTTTCTCAAATCGTGTGTGTTGAGCCGAAATACGAAGATAAAAAAGCCTAACTGTAACCCATTGCACGACGTGCAAACCACCCTGCTAAGGCGAATTCAGAATAAAAACAGGAGGAGCAGAAGAAGAAATCGACATCACAGCACTCGTGACACTCCTATAACTGCTCAGTCCTCATCTTCAGCAGCAACCGAAGAGTTTAAATGGTACCAGTAACCGTCTGATTGTATATCCGTCTCATCCTTCAACTGAGTGTTGAGCGTCGACCAGATCCCCTGGAAACTCCTCGCAGCGCCATTCTCATCAGACCGTAATGATCTGCCTCCACACTGTTCACCCGTTTCCAAAAGGGCCCTCACAATATCTAGCTTATCTTTCATCAGTTAACCACCAAGTGGTGCAGTGTTTGCCAGTCTATCTGACTGCTCATTTCATAACACGTCGGCATGATCTGGAGAAAATATCCAAAGAATGCTAACTACCCGGGACCTCTGATGTGATGCTTACCACTCTGCACGATGTAAAATGATCGTCGAGTCAGTTACAATCACGGCATGTATGTACATGTGATTCTTAAGACAGCAGAGACTGTTCTACCTCTATTATCAAAATAGACGTTGTGATATCATTTGCAAGGCTTTCCTGCACTAGGCGATGTCCATTCGCCTTTGTAACAAAGTATATTAGGACACCCTACGTTTAGAAGCAACCTGAAATCGAGTATAAGTAGGTTAAAATAATAGTAGATCGACCTGTCTGTTTGTCCCTTCCTGTGTGATACCTAAAGGTTTACCATACCATCCTGCGATTATACAAGCTCATACTTGACGATATACCAACAATGTATTTTTAGACACAGCGTTACGGCCGATGTGTTTGTAATTGTTGTTGAGTTTGTTATTCGACCTATGCTTGGTTTATATAGATTTCTGTAACACATGGTGCCATTTTAATAGTTTGAGATTCCATAATTGTGGATTTTAAGCAGTACGATAGACATGGAAAATGAAGACACATTTTTTTTAGGCGTGCCTAGTTAGTCATGTTCTTAGTACAGTTGTTTCTATACTATGGCGCACACGCCATTTGGAGGTGACAGGTTCTATTCCCGGCATTATAATTATAGCTTTCGATTTGTATGTTGTCTAGTGTGTTCTTCTGTTTTTCCACTTCTTTGTATGATTGTCGATCAATATATATATATATATATATAGATAGATATATATAAAACAATGCGGATCCAGACTACCCCGTTCCACCTTTAAAGACCTTATACTTATGGCACCCACAAGGCTTACACAGGCCATGGGTAACTTGCAGTTCCATACTGACTAAACTCTGTCGTTTATTATTCTTTCGTTCTATTTGTTGACATAATATTTGAATACTGTAAGGTAGTCATTTCAGGCTGTTTATTTGTTTGCTTGTGTCTCTCCCCCCCCCCCCCCCCCCCAGTCCCCACCCTCTCCCCCTTATTTTGCTCAGGTCATGCAGAATGTCGATCTTTTTCTTCTTCTTGGTGGGCGGTTTTCTAAGAATTTGCCTGCAGTATTTCAGATCAAAAGCCCCCGATTAATTTTTTCAAATTAGTTATAATAGTAGTAATAGTAGTAGTAGTAGTAGTAGTAGTAGTAGTAGTAGTAGTAGTAGTAGTAGTAGTAGTAGTAGTAGTAGTAGTAGTAGTAGTAGTAGTAGTAGTAGTAGTAGTAGTAGTAGTAGTAGCAGCAGCAGCAGTGCAGTAGTAGCAGCAGCAGCAGCAACAGTAGATTTTACCCCACTAGGATATCGCAAAGCGATAAACACCCGATGACACAAAGTGCCACCATGCGGATGAGGAAAAACCCCGGGAAATGTTCCGGAAACTGCGTGCAGCCATTAGGCCATATTCATTGCCGGGCTATAGTGCGGCTCCTTGCAACAGCTAGGGTGGGGCTTCAAAATAACGAAAAATTGCATCCCACAAAGGGACAACGAGATTAGCACGTCTTCTTCAAAGACTGATTCTTCTCAGACGGTCTCGAATCATCTGTATTCCTTTTGTCCTGTATAAATCCGCTATACGATGTGCATGGGAGGGCAAGGGAAATGGTGAAGAATCGATAATTCAACCAGCGGTTTGTGATTGATATCATATTTTTTGTAAATCAATCGACATTCGATCAGTGATGTGGTGAACATCACGCCCGTCGTCTTTACTTCCTTCGGAATTTCCCGGTACACTTTTAATGCATACGAGGTAAATTTAATGGTTGTTCGTCCACTTCTGGATTCAGTCCTGTTCCAGAACATGAGTGTTGCGTGTGCATCCGTTTGACAGATCTGTATGCAGACTGTTGGTTCCTTGCTTGTCAGGCAGATGCACTCCGACTTCGAAGGAAGCTTCCAATTAGTCGACTCTTACGACATGCTTTTGGGTAGGCAGTGTGTCTATTCTTGTTTTCCCCATAGTAGGGCCCGGAACCCACACGGGGGAATCAAACAGTTAAAAAAAGACGCTGGTATTGGATTGGACAGATATCGGGAAACTTGACAATATACAGTGCAAACCGTTAAAGGCGATCTCGGATGTTGCGAATTTCGGTTGTGAAATTTTTAAAATTTATTCTCAATGATTTTTCTAGCTTGAGTTCGTATCTGGATAAGAGAAATTTCTTATAAGAAAAACAATTTCTTGAATCCTTATTGAGTTCTCGCTGAGTTCTCGTTATCGGATTTGCACAGTAATTACAATGTCCTCGCATAGAAAAGATTGACGTCTCATGCTCCACTGGAAGATACAAGGCAGAAGAAGATATAGAAGAAACTCGGCTGGCCAGTAGACGACTTCGTCGCTAGCTGGAAGAATATTTAGGTCTGTTTCCTATGATCGCACCAACACGGCATGAGTCCTTTCTGGACTGTTAGTGGCGTGCTATACTAAGCCATTTTACATGGCGCACATAACCTAGTCACAGTTATAACCTAAAGCTCCTCCTTCAGGGATGCTGGTTGAACGGAACGGTTTATTTATTTATCCGAACAAAGCATCGATCAATCGATAATAGAAGAAACAACGTCACATCTTGTTTTTAGTGTGTGTTCACCATCAGTAAATTCCGGCGGGAAAGCCTGGTTGTTCGCCCACTTGTGGAATTTGGCCTTATTCCAGGACTCAAGTGTTGCCTGTGCACCAGGTTTACTGATCTGTCTTATTTGTGTGCAAACTGTTAGTTCTTTGCCTCTAGGACAGATGAACTCTGTGTCAAATCAATGTCGATCGTATCTATGATGGCCAGGTGCTCAGTAGGGAGTCTGCTTCTAGGATGAGTGTGAAGATGCCTAGATAGGACTTGACCTGAATGAACCTTGGCCCTAGTACAACACTTTACGTGGTTCAGTACGTCTGCATCCCAACATAGACATGGCCAATAAGACACCTTTTTTTGGGGGCGTGCCTAGTTGACCATGTTCTTAGTGCACTTGTATTCACGGCGAGGCGCACGGTAACTCTAGGTTTCGATTTTTATGTTGTCTAGTGTGTTCTTCTATCTTTCTACTTCTATCTATGAGTGCCGATCAATACACTTTTTGTCACTTGATTAATCCCCTTGATGATAAGAGAAGTTGTTCAACAGCTGTTTTCGAGAGCCATGACGTGGACAGCAAACGAAAAATAAAAACGAAATTACCAATGTAAACTCGCAAGGCTTTGATTATTGATGATCCGATCACACAAAATGATTGATAACCGCTTTGCCGACTTATGAAAAGACATCTTGCAGTCATTTACTCTGTCATTCATTTATCTTACCTTTCACAGTTTTCGTACTGCTATAACCTTCCCATGACGTGAACTATGTCCACGAAGCAGTAACACTAAGCGAGTATCAATCAAATTATACCCTGGAGACATCGACCAGAAAAGAGAAGCCTAAGAACGACTGTAGCCGAAGCGTCTTAGATAATCAGATGGGCCGATCGGAGCTTATTTAACTTCAGGCACTTGAAATAATCGCGCATTTATAGTCAGTATTAACTACGAGTCAAACAGAGCAACCTATAGCTTGGGACACAACTTACAATTGTGGGGAAAGCCAATGCAAAGGAAAAACAGTGTGGAAACAACCAAGAAGGTTACATTGTAAACAGTGTTTACTAAAAAGCATATCTTTGTAACCATAACTGTTTTGTGTTTTGAAGAGTAAGTTACGATTCTCATCAGATTTAGGTAAGTGTGTTTGCTAGTATGCTTTAATATATATTGTCATCATTTGGAGGCAACAGTTTTGATTCAGAATGTTCAGTACAGCTTTTGATTTTGTTATCTATGGTGCTCTTTAATCTGTTTCCTTTTCTTACTGACATGATCGCCCATTTTCGTTTGCTTCGTGACTAAGCTTTTTTCTTCTCATTAGAGTCCATACAGTGTGGCGTCGATAGTCTTGTCTATCCACAACCTTCTGTCTCGTGTACTTTCAATCAACTCTGACACAGATGATCTTCCATGTCAAGATGTCGAACTGTCCAGCATCTGTTCTCTCAGTCTTCATCTGCCTCTCCTCTCCTCCAGCTTACCTACGGTCACGACGTACTCCAGTTTTCTCCTTCTCAGCACATGACCAAAGAATATAGATTGTTTTTTTCTGATGTGAATGAAGCTTTACCATGCATTGATTCATATCCACCATTGTCAGACCCGTGTCCTGATGGGTGTGAAGGGCTGGGTGTGGGACAAGCACCCGATGCTGTGAAAAAGAAACCTTTCATCAGAAACTCATAGGAAATGAAGAACGGAATAGAGGACTATACTGCGAGCCACATGTCATATCTAATGACACAAAAGGGCGATGAAGATGACAATGACGAAGATTCTATTCTAGCATAGGCCACAAACAGGACCGCGCGCCTGCGGCCTTCACTAGTGCCCTGTCGTTTGTTTTGCAGAGTTGTTTCCGTGTCAGGTTTCTTCTGCGCTAGCATTTAAAAGGGTGGTAGGCATATTGTAATGTGGTTTACAGCCAGGCTGCTATATCTGTGCCTTTCGGCCAAACACAGCCGATTTCATTAGACCCTTATAAGTCTCTCTTTGCCACAAGCTTGCTAAGAGTTAGCAGCTCTGTGCTAGTCTCTCAAACATGGGGTACCGCGGAGGGGGGGGGGGAATGTACAGTCTGAATATTCTAACTGTACATGTAGTTTAAAATACATTAATTCATTGCTTTTATCTAAATTAAGACAGCTCCCAGTTTATGTGATAAGTGGAGCGGAAACATCTTGAAGCTTTCCTGTTTCCTCATTGTCTTATCTTCGCCAATTCATAACAATATTCAGAGGAAGAAAGACAAAAATCACTTTTACACCTTCCTTATGGGCCATTATATTTATTGCCCTGACGGAAAATAATAACAAAATTTAAAAAAAATTACATACACTAAAGCCATTCTTCTTTTTTCTTCCTTTCTTTACCCGAATGCCTGGCAGGGTCAGTGAAGAAAGGGACTTCTGGAACGAGCTCTCATGTTTAATCCTCAGAACCCCGTCCCAATGTGGGGCAAATTTGTCGTTATTTTGAAGCCCCGCCCTGGTTGTTGCAGAAAGGGGTGGGGTGGGGGGTGGGGGGTGGGGGACAATGTAACCTAACGGTTGAACGGGGTTTCTGGTAGCTCTCCACGGGTGGATCTCCTCCGAATCGTGACACTTTGTGTTATCGGGTATTTATCGCTCCGTGTGATGTTTAGGTGGGTTTGAACATCAATCAGATCAAACAGCTATTATGTTTGCTTCGTATAAAGTACTGTTGAGTGTCCCTTGATATTTCGGCGGCCTATATTCTGCGTGTTCGACCTCTGGTCCTGTTACGGCTGTCTCTGTATAACACTTTTCTCTGTGTTGTTGTTGTTGTTGTTTTTGTTGTTGTTGTTGTTGTTGTTGTTGTTGTTGTTGTTGTTGTTCTTCTTCTTCTTCTTCTTCTTCTTCTTCTTCTTCTTCTTCTTCTTCTTCTTCTTCTTCTTCTTCTTCTTCTTCTTCTTCTTCTTCTTCTTCTTCTTCTTCTTCTTCATCTTCTTCTTCTTCTTCTTCTTCTTCTTCTTCTTCTTCTTCTTCTTCTTCTTCTTCTTCTTCTTCTTCTTCTTCTTTCGTTTGCTTGAAATGGATTATCTATATCTGAAATCTTGTCTCTAGTATGAACTTCACTGTCTTTTCTAATTTACTCAGCGTTTTTCTTGGCCAAAATTTTTGCTTCGTTATATTGTGTTCGGGACAATCTTGGAGGACATGATCTGTTGTCGCAGGTGCTAGTCCACATGTGTACATGGCTGATTCGCCGATGTTAAATTTTGTGTACATGTGGCTGCGAAGTCGCAGAATAATAACTTGCTTTTGGTGGCTTTCTGATTGATTTGATTATTCTCTTCTTTTGTTGATAAGAGACTGGGACGTCAGGTTGTTCTTCATTTGCACCTTCCTTAGCTAGTTTATCAGCTCTTTTATTTCCAGGAACTCCACAGTGGGATGGTATCCATTGCATAGTTACCTTTCACCGGTGCCTAGTTTGGATAGTATTGTTCGTATACCAATTAGTTTTCCGGATTGAAGTGCCTGAAACACCGCTCTAGCATCTGTCAGAAATACCACGGGTTGTGAAATATGACATATACCTAACAGTTTCTCTGCTGCTATTTTGACGGCTTGAACTTCTGCATCAAAGTTGTGACAGTGCTTTCCTGTAAGTATTTTGGCTGTATATCTGGTTTTATTTGGATGCTCAAATGTGCTGACCCATCTGTATAGACTGTGTTGTCCTGTATGTTAATAACAATTAAATAATGTCAGCCGCAGAATGCTCGTTTTTATCTCAATTCGTTTCCCGCCTAAAAAGATTATGAGATATGTTGTTCATAAATTACACTGGTCACGTTTATATGTGTCCAGACTTTATCTCAACATAAACAACAGCGTCAGGCTCCCAGACACAAAGAAAACATCGCCGTACATATTTCCTAGAAAAAAATGGGACAAAGGTCCCTGACCTCCCCTTCCCCCCCCCCCCCGATATTTTTGTATTTGTGGTAGGCTAAGGGACCTCTGCCTACCCTCCCCCTTCTGACCAATAATTTTATAAGAGGGTTTAAAGAGCCCTTTTAACAGTGCACATAAATTCTCTTTAAAAGTAATTGTTTACATCATCGCGACCTGGTCGCCCATTAGCTCGCCGGTAGACGACTTTGTCGCCAGTCAAGACATTAGTTGGGTTAGTCTCCTTTGATCACATCAACATTGTAACGAGTCCTTTTCAGGGCTCATGGTGGCGTGCAGTGCTAAGCAATTTTATATAGCGCACATAAAAGTACTGAAAGATAAGAGATTTCGCAAAGGGGAATAACCTCGCACGCCTTCAGAGATAGCCTGTACCAGTTTAAATTATCGTACGCATTTATCATTGCTAGCTGCTTTTACCTTCCTCAACCCCTTTGCCAGCTAGCATAATTAGCATAACATTATCATATTTCCCTGTACCTGCCTTAAGTTCGCTGAAGCGGAACAAATATATTACCTTTTTTTTTGTGTGTTGCTTTAGGCAATTGTTCTTGTCTTGACACGAAACAGAAAAGAAGTCTGGCCGTTAAAAGGTAAAGCTAGTTGCAGATAGATCGTTGTTATGGCCTTTTCTTCCTCCATTTCAGATAGAAAAAAGCGACCTGGAAAATCTAAGAAAGGCAACTCGGAGAAGGACAGTAGAAAAGGAAATAAAGTGTAAACGGTCAAGGAGTATCATGGGCAGAAAAGCGGAGACTGAGCAATGGAGATCACTCGCAAATGTTTCATCTGTCAACAACGATATATATATATATATATATATATATATATATATATATATATATATATATATATATATATATATATATATATATATATATATATATAAATATATATATATATATAAACGCAAGGTCCGACAATTAAGTAATGAGACTGATTCCATAAAAAAATTAATATAATCAACAGCTGAATATATAACCTGTATCTGAATCAAAGTAAGCCCCTTGTTCATTGACACCGCAAGTGGCACGATATAACAAACACTGGAACGACCTCTGTAGTTCTTCTGTTTTTAAGGCACATAAAGTCGATGTTACGGCCTTTTGGATATCATCAGTCTTTTAAGAAGCGTCGTTTCAATCGTAACTTTAATTTTGGGAACATAAAATAATCACAGGGAGACAAAGTATGGGGAATATGGAGGGCTGAGAACAAACACGCGTTTTGAGGCAAACATGTCTTGTTTTGATGATCTCTTTGGTACTCAACCCGCTGATGTTTTTGGTCATCAGACAACAAATGTGGTACAAACAGGCAAGCAACTTTTTTCTTGCACTAAAATCTTTTGAATAGTCTCTCTATTAACACCAGGTTCATCCGCCATCATCCTCCCAGTGAAATAATGATCTTCTTGTATCCGTTCTCTGACTTTTGCAATGAATTCATCATTACGATTAGAAATTTGGCGTCCAGGTCTAGGTGCATTAGTAATCATTTCTACACTACTTTTCAATCGTGAACACCACCTGAAAATTTGTGCACGAGGTAAAAATTATCCCCATAAACGTGTTGCAAACATGCAACTGTTTCAGTGGCACTTTTTCTGATTAAAAAAACCCCCATTAACGTTAGCTTTTTGCTCCATGATGATTACGTAACAATGCACCTTTGACTAGGTCAACAAAATGGCGGCTTGTTTGTTGTCTGCTTATCGAGTGGCGATAAAAAGTTGCTAGATCATAAACGAATGTTGCCTCTTTAGATTTGATGCTCTGCTTCATAGATGGCATAATAAAATCAGTCTCATTACTTAATTCTCGGACCTTGTATATATATATATATATATATATATATATATATATATATATATATATATATATATATATATATATATATATATATATACACACACACACACACGGATAGACACGTACCACTCACGCACCCGCATTTGTTTATGTTACAATGTCGAAATTATGACC